TAGGCTGGCTGAGCTTTCTCTTACCTTTTTCTTATGTTTTCCAACCCCTGAATAAGGAGAATGAACACGATATAAAGGACAGGGATAACTACCAAAGTACGTATATGGTGAACGCCTGTGAACTTCCGTAATTTAGTAACCTTAAAATAAGGTTTGTGAAAATGAAATCCTCTGAAGCATACTATTTTTACCGTTATTCCATTGGGTTCCGAGTACGACATAGGTAGGGCTTCAGTGGCAGCTCTTCAAATCGGTCTTTTCTCTGAAGGTCTTTTCAGATGCCTTCATGATTACTCACAAACTTTTACTTCTTCCTCCTGACACGATCTCCACCATGTCACTGTAAGTTCCCGTTCGAGGGCCTAGTGCTTCACTTCAGTCGACAGCCTCTTCAGGATATCGGGTCCTTTATGCCGAATACATTGGTTTTCTACACCGATTTCAGATTGATGAATGTCCGTCTTGTTTTTTTCCGGTTCTAGACGGCTTTGATATCTTCATCTGTGTTGTCTGAAATTCTATTCCAGATGTATCACACGGGGAGTGAAACGGCATTATTTATTGGATGACGTTTCGGACCCAATCTATTGGTGTTCATAATCATATCATCAATTATAATCACATGACTTCGAAACTTGAGTTTTATAGTTTTTTTTGTTCTCTCCTATTTGTCGTCGTTGGGGTTAGTAGAATTTCCCAGATATCCGAATGGACAGGTATTGAATCACTCCTATTACACGTGTTGGTTTGCAGTTGATTCGACTAACAAAGCTTACCAGATATCTGGAAACTTCTACAACCCCAACGGCGAAAAATAGGAGAGGACAAAGAAAGCTATAGAACTCAAGTTTCAAAGTCGTGTGATTATAATTGATGAAATGATTATGAACGGTAATAAATTTTGTTGGAAACTGTGTCATCCAGTAAATCACAATACTGTTATACTCATTGTATGTGATATATGTAATAAACAAACTAATATGGAATTACAGTTGCCTCTGTTATCCGTGATAATTAAGCCGATTTCCACTGAATTAAAAATATTTATTTATTTTTTATTATAGCTTGATTCCACACTGTATTTTTGGTACAATTATGGAATTTTCAGCATGGATATCGGTAGCCCAAATTTCGCAGGCCGACCACCATAGATATCAGGTGTGCGTCGGCGTGGGCTCGAACCCCGGCCCATGTCATGGTCGGCGAGAGTCTTAACCACTGTGCCACCGACGCACAAATAGAATAAATAAGGCTTATACGAAAAAAAAATAATTCATCCTTATTAGCATGATTAGGCTTTAAGCACCGATAAAAACACACACTTATAAGCCGATCAGATCAAATAAATCCCACAATAAGGAAAACAACGGATAAATAACCTAACTGGAAAGATAAACACCTTGACATGAATTTAGGTTTAAAAATAATAATTACAGTATGAGAAGTGGAATTAACATTGACTAAATCATGCGTGTATGTAAACAAAGATTTGTTTTCTGTTTTTATTCTCTCAAGTGATGTCACACATTTATACTCCATTTATGAATCCGGCTAATCAGAGTTTACGGGATTTCACCATGAGCTGACATTGGTTAGAAAACCAGTGGAATACCAACTGGGGAGTACTGGACAGCCATCTGTTTAGTCCCGGTTTGGGACTCTTCAACAGTACGCAACCACCACAGGTTTTCGAACCATCGACGTTCTGGTTGCAAGGAGAGCTAGCTTGTAGACCATTAACCAGCCACTGGGACCTGATCCAATGGCCAGTCCATGAATTCTAACTTCTACCAATTCAGTCCGTCCAGGATTGTAAATTAAAATTAAATTAAACTGTAAATCAACATTTGAGCAACTGACAGTTATGTCTACAGGGATACAGGGTGAGTGAAAACTCTTAAGAAGGAAAAGGGTAAATAAATATCACCTTAGAACTATTTATCATTGCAAATAAAAAAAACATTTTTCCCAGTCACTCAATCAATCAGTCAGTTTCTCTATGCACAATGCAAACACACACTTAGTTTAGAAAAAACCAACATGACAGTTTTCATATATGTGTTGTATATATATGTGAAACACAAAATGACTGAAAAATGCAAATTATTTGATAGGAAAGACCTGTCAAGTGTTATTATTTCTTTGTAAAAACTAGATTGTCATTGACTGTCATTGGTGTAAAATATATCTATGCGTCATTTGAAGACATAAAGTGATTTGAAATTTATGGAATATAAATATATATATGTGGTGAGAGCAGGCTGCTAGCCAATTGGTCGACATTAATCTGCGTCAATGTCAAGGTCACTAATATGGGCCTTGATAAAATATGAACAAGGCTGATCCAACAACCAATCACAGCGGACTTAAACGTGGGCAGATATGATTCGCAGATAGATGGCTCCACTTTCCAAGGAACTCGAAAACAACCAATCAGAAGACTGCGTTTGTCTACTTGACTAAGCCGTATTAATGTATGTGAAATTTATACAAATACGTGTTGATTTTCGTAATAAAACGATCTGTTGCCTGGCCCTTGTCTTCTGTTGTTATATATATATATATATATATATATATATATATATATATATATATATATGCAAATAGTTCATGTCATAGAGTTGCTTTACTGAGTTGACAACAATTTGATTTATGTTTTTATATGAATAGAAATATGAGCTGACTAAAGTAAGTGATCTGGGTTTCAAGATCTTAGTTTAATCCTTCGATTGGACACTTACACTAGTGTTCTGTGTCTTGTCTTTCGTTAGCTGCAGACTAAATTCTATCACAGTGAAGTTTGTGATGTGCTTTTACGAGTTCGACCACGGATTGATTGTTCAGTTAGAGAACCATTGAAAACCAGCCGCAGGGTGTATTGGACAGATATTTCCCCGTTCTGGTTTAGGAATCATTGGCAGTAGGCACCCACCTCACAGGGGCTTCGGACCTAGGACCTACCGGTTCCAAGGCAAGCTGGCTCGTATACCATTCAGCTACTGGGATCCGATCCAATGGCCAGTCAGTGCATCGATTCTATCTTCTACCAATTCGTGACTTAGTGTGACCACTAACCAGTTTCATCGGTGGGTTATCCATCCTCACATATGTCAATAGATGGACCTCACTGGTTATGACTTCTCACTAGAACTCGAGGAAACTCCAACCTGTAGCAAGTCACTAGCGAGCATCAGATTATTCTTCTATAGTTTGGTTTGTAAGGGTTAGTTATGTTTTTAGAAGTTTGACCACGGATGGATATCAGTTAGAGAACCATTGAAAACCAGCCACGGGGAGTACTGGACAGCTGCTGTTTCATCCAAGCTTTTTATATTATTATAGCCTGACTCCAAACAGTATTTTTGATACAAGTATGGAATTTTCAGCATGTGATATTCGATAGCCCAAATTTTGTAGGCCGACTATTGATATCGGGTGTGCGTCGGCCGATGATGGAACGGCGGACCATGTGCATGCTTGGCAAGAGTCCCAATCACTGTGCCACAGACGGGGGTTCGAACCCAGGAACTTCCGGTTATAAGGCAAGCTCGTTTACCATTCAGACAGTAGGACCGGATTCCCACCGATGACATTGGTTGATGGTCACACTAAATCACGAATTGGTTGAAGTTAGAATTCATGGACTGACCACTGAATCGGGTCCCAGTGGCTGAATGGTATAAGAGCCAGCTTGCCTTATAACCGCGAGGTTCTGGGTTCGAACCCCCTGCGGGGCGCAAACTTGGATGAAACTGTCCAGTACCCCAGTGATGGTTTTCTATGGTTCTAATTGATATCAATCTCGTAAAAAACAAATTTTATCCTTACAAACCAACTTTTCTAGTGAGTGTTTGTGTGTATCCAATTAAAGTACCTAATATAGTCTGTCCTAGAGATTGATACTTATAGATCGAACATTTCCATTCACATTTTTGTATTTATCTCACTTACACATGAAATATGAGGCTTCAAGCGTGAGGTTTGATGTTTCAGTAGCGATGGGGTTTCTCGTTTCACGCCTAAATTTCCCTCTTTACCGGGCTTACTAAGGGCTACGTGACTTTTAACAGTGAGTCTGTCAGTCAAGAATCAAACCTGGGCCACGTGTGTGGCTGATAGACATTCTACCGTTGACCCACCAACTCATTCCATTTACTTAGCTATATTATATATTTACGTTTTCGAATTATTATAACTTCTCTATAGTTTCGATGTTCGTCAGTATATTTAAGAAACCTTCGGAGGCATTATATATACACTTAAATTAACCTGGAATCAAGTAACTGTTGGAAGGTAGAAGTGTCATGAGAGCTGTCTTCTAGCCGATATTGGTAGACAGTAATTTAAGTCAATGTTTACGTCATGAGAAAAACAAGAACAAAGAATAAATCACACACCTTATCACGCCAGACTTATCGTGTAAAAATACGATTCGCATGTATGCGGTTTGGTCTTCAAAAAACAGGCCACAAAGAGACAGATTAACTTTCAGCGAGAAAGACAGGCCTCAAGCAGTTGTCTCTCAGGCTCTGCGGTCGCGCAACACTGACCACCTCTTTCTGTTTCAGGTATCCGAAGAATCAATCAACTTGCACATTGTGGGCAGCCGGGAAGTAACAACCGCCCACACACTTTGAAAAGCACACGAAGCCTTCTCGAGCATCATTCTCCTTTGCCCACATCACCTTCATTAGCTTACCTTCCTACTACAGTCGGCACTATTCTTATAAAATTGCAGTCCCAATTGAGGTTAAGGAGCCGTTATAGAAGTAAACACACGGAAATCTTCAAATATATCATCACTTATTTGATACACAAACATGCAAAGCTACAGAATAAGCCATAAAACAGACAAAATTATGAATCGATCATAGTTCAACTTCTCACGCATCATAAAACATGCTCATGCAGTCAGTCTGTCTATATCTGCTCTAAGTAAACATTCTAAAAATAATCACTGTTCAGCATTACTCGATACATCCAAAAAGAGAAAAACTCACCTATTCATTACCAATTTCGATTGTATTGAACTCAATTCACCAAATGATGTGTCTGGATTTGTAGCCGATCGATAAAGAAAAGACTGTCTGTGGATAGATGACTTTCTAAGAATAACTGCTGATTTTATTGACGAACTAGCACCACCAATCGATGGGGGCATAGAATAGCGTGAATATGAAGAGAAAGACGTGGATGTTGAAGGGGATAATGGTGACGGGGGAGAAGGTGGTGCTGGTTGTGGTGGTAGTGATGAAGAATATCCTGTACACCTCATAGTGGTGGTCATGGTGCTGGTGGTGTTCAGGGTAGTAGCATGGCCTTCTGAATATCTGAACAGGCGATTTGAATGAGTTTCAGAGAGAAAGACGATCAGACAGAAAGAAAGAAAGAAAGAAAGAAGCAGAGAAAGAGGTGTCATTCCATGCTGAATATTCTCGAAGCATCATGCAAAGATCTACAAAACAGACAACAGCTAAGAAACATTCAGAGAAGTAGATTGATGCATGCAAAAACAACACTGAAAACAAAGACAACGACTAAAAGAAAGCATATAAATCAATCTTTCAAAAAAGGAGAAATTCAATCACCCCTTCAGAGAGACACAGGAGAGAAATCATTTTTAACAATTCAGTTGAAATTGGTGCATATGTTTCAAGGAGACAGTTTAGTCAATATTTGAATGACAACGTTAAATGAACTATAAAGACACACATCAGCAAATAAAAATCACTCGCTATTACGTAATACATGATTGTGTAACGAGAGAACCACAAACACTCCAGAAAACTTCAAATATTCACCAGTGGATGACGTAAATGCGTTAGTAGTGTTACCACTACTTTAAGATAACAGATAGGAGGTATTATAAGATCTACAAAAAGTATTTAAAATGCCTTCCAGATTCAAGTCTCACGATTCTCCAAAGTTATTCAACAAAACATACTGTTACAGGATTGCATCGTGAGCTGACATCGGTTAGAGAACCATTGGACAGCTGTTTCCTCCATCCTAGTTTGCGAATTCTCGTCAATAGGTACCCATCACCTGGGGTTTTGAGTCCATGATATTCCGGTTACGAGGCGAGTTCGTAAGCCATTAAGCCAGTGGGGCTAGTCTCAATAACCAGTGCATGAATTCCAACCTCTGAGAATCCGCGCACAATATAGCGCTGCTGGCACTAGTCACTGTCATCGGTATTGAGTATTTGTCCTCACACTTGACCGGATGGACTCCATTGATCACGATTTCCTACTAAAACCCAGGTAACTACCTAGCTGAATAGTACCAGTCGCTAGTTGGCATCTTCGTAGGCCACTCAGTCGAGTTCTAGTGATTTAACAGTTTCGAGTTTGCCTCGTAACTGGAAGATCCTGGGTTCGAACTTCAGGTGGTGAGTGCGTACTGATGAAGAGTCCCAAACTAGGACGGAGTAAACAGATGTCCAGCACTTCCTGTTGGTTTCCTGATGGTTCTTTAACCAATGTCAGCTCATAATGAAACCCTGTAAGCAATCAAATCTCCGTAATTAGACACTTGGAAGCGCCATGTTATTTGAATAAATATGCCATCAAGTGAAATGCTTAGATTCGGATTTCGCCTTGCTTAGGAGTCGTCAGCTCAATATGCCTTCATTTGTTGTTGTACTGCATCAATACAACCCCTAATTTGTGCATTCTGTGGATGGGTATTTGCCATTTGAAACAATGGTCATAGAGTTTGAATTTCCGAGAGAACATCATCCATTTCTGATTGGGGATTACAGGTACATTCAGCTAAGAATTCATGAGAACAATCCTAGTCTTTGCATACAACAAAAGAAGTTACTTCTACCTTTGTCTCTCCCTTGGCCTAGGTGAATTCTATTCAAAACCCTCCACTCGCCCTTTCTTATTTTCCATCTCCTTCGAACTTTTATGATGTTTATTTAAACTCTGATAACCCATCTGTCCATTTCACCTTTAATATTACGTAACTTTAAGATTTGTCCTAATTTATTTATTTATTGAATTGCCTACATATACACATGTATACATATACTACCTTTGTTATTCTTATCGCCACCTGCATAAACCTTATGGTCATTAATTTGTTATCATTATAATCATCCTTACTAAACACGTTCAAAACATTTAACACATTATTATTATTTGATCCATATAATCACCGTCACTGGTTAAACATTCTTATATATATAAATCTATGTAAATTAGAGTAAAGCCTGAAGAAGATCTAATTGAAAACAGCAATATCATTCGCTTATCTGTCTTGTCCTAATATTAATAATGGGGATATCTCCGAGTACGGTTTATTAAATTTGAAGTCTCCTGTCATTTGATATCACGTCACATATGTAAGTATCTTAATATTTGATTGCACCGAGGATTTAATCATGAGCTGACATCAGTTAGAGAACCACTGGAAAGCCTGGGAGTACTAGACAGCTGTTTCCTGCGTCCTACTTTGGGACCCTTCAGCAGTACGCAACCACCGGGGGTCGCACCCTGGACCTTCTGGTTACAAGGCCGGCGAGCTCGTAGACCACTGAGCCACTGGAACCCGATCCAATGGTTCTTGAATTCTAACTTCTGCCAATTCACGACATAGCGCGACCACTTCGCAATGTCTTCTTCTTTTTCGATGAGTTACTGCCTCATCTTCGACCTGCTGTACCCCACTGGTCACGGCTTCTCACTAGAACCCCAGGTTAACTGCCTGAATAGGGCCAGTCGCTAGTGAGCATCAGATTAATTTTCAAGTATTGGTTTTGTTTGGTTGTTCGAACCCCAGTGGGTGCGTACTGATGAAAGTCCCAAACTATAACGAAACAGCTGTCCAGTGCTCTCTGACTGGTTTTCCAGTGGTTCTCTAACTGATGTCAGATTGTGATCAAATAAAATCCCAACAAGACCAATACTTGAAAAAGTATCTTGATATTTGTTCTGTACATTAAACTTTATTTATTCATTTAATCTGTGCACGCAGCTGATGAGCAACTGATGAAATATACGATGGTTCTATCTTATATCTGAATTCTTAAAAGGGGAAGAGTGTATGAACGCAATATTCATAAATGAGCATAATTCATCAAAGTGGTTTTTATTAATTAAGGAAATTTTGCAAATGCTTTTGGGATGATTTTCATCAGAGAATGTGCCTACAAGTGTGCGAAATAAACAGAGATGGAGGGAGATACAGGAATCCAGACGACTAGAAAAAAACTCATTATAAATTAATTTAATTAATCCTGGCGTGTTTAAAAAAAACAAAATCAAAACAAGATCTATGATCTGAACATTTTGCTGTGTAAGCTACCATAGCTTCTTCAGCAGATTTATTCGGATTTTTATTAATCATCAAAATATATAGTCAAAAATTGTTTACATAAAATGGAAGTCAGTTTATTTGAAAGTCATTTGTCCATGGTCAGGAAATTTATGACTGGAAAAACACTGTTGTGATATGAAAGTCAGATTCAACTGGATTCGTTCCTAACATTATAACTAAGACTCATTTGTGTTATAAACAGTCCAAACCAAGTTAAGTTTTAACAGTTTAAAAAAATTTGGGCATTGAGTATACGTGATATTCATTATAGTGAAGGTTTATTTTGTATTTCCCAAATGAAGGAATGAAAAACAAGACGATATTGTTGTGTGTTTACTGACGTTTCGCTATTTTTAATGCTGTTGCTAATAGCTTTATCAAAGTAGTATTATTAAACCAGTAGAAGTTACAAAATCTCAGCTTGTATATATAACAGTTTAATCATCGTTCCTCAAACATTACTGAAACTCTCAAGTAAAACAACTATTACCCAAAGAACTTCATCAACAAAATCAACACAGACATTAAGAAGTATGGTCAAAAACGTATTCCGAAAACATGAACCTCAACAGTTGTCAGTCATTCCATATAGAGCAGAGACGTCAGACGATATTAGAGGAGTATTTAATAAGCTCAACATCAGAGTTTTCTTCAAAACATCAGACACACATACACACACACTGTGAAACAACCTTGTCCATATAAAAGACCAAATCCCTAAAGATTCTCCATCTAATTGTGTCCATAATATAAAATGATTGGAATGTGATGCGATATACTTCGGAGGAAAGCATCGTCAGAAAGAAAGCAAGATCAGAAGGAATGGGGAACACCATAGAGCCGCCTATGTTCGACCCCCGATAAATCCAGTTAGCGAACTAGAAAAGCTTGAAAAAGAATCATCCATAGGTTGTCGACACGCTATATGACCAGGTCATAAAATTGAATTTGACAATATTGAAATCATCATCCAGAATAAGCATTTCAGAAATCACAAATAATGTCTGATATCATCAGAAGCATCAAATTGTTTGAATGAGAATGATGAACTAAAACAGAATTTGACCTTGTTACAACACACTTACACCCTCCCCCATGCAATGACATGAATCAACATGAATGTGATATGCAATTTCATTATGTAAACACACACACACACACACTGATTTTGTATAATTTTACACACTTATCAAATCCAACAGTCATCTACACATGATGGTTTTGTTTTCTTTACCCCATGCAGATGAACGATGATTAAGTTGTTATATATAATATATTAAATATTCCCATAGTAACATTTAGAACAACAAATTTAGAACAACACATTTAAGCGAACAATATTGTGGCTTCAATTAGATCTCATCAGGCTTAACTCTAATATATATAAGTTTACAAATAAAAATTCAAATATAAACCAATCATGGTGTTTTGTCTATAGGATAATACGATGGTGAATATAAATTGTGCAATTAGTCATAATAGTTTTTTTTTATTTTCCTGCACGTTCCCAGTGGAACATACGGCTCCAAGCTAGATGCTTGAAGTTTCTGTAGCAGTGGTGATTATTTTTACAGGATGGGGTTGCTAGCCTCATGCCCAACCTTTCCTCTTCACCAGCTTTATTTCTGGCTTAGCGAAGTAAAGGAGTGCGTCGGCCGAGGATCGAACCCAGGACCATGTGCATGGTCGGTCATAATAGTAGTAATGATAATATTAATAGTGGTAATAATAATAATAATAATGGTCTTATCAATAACAAGGTTGAAAAAGTGAGGCAATCTGTGATAACACGAATAACGAAAAACAGCATGATTAAACAAACAATTGTTCAGGTGGAAGTAGTCGATAAAGGCTAGTAAAAACACATGAACCGATTACGTAATGTTAGATTGTAGGGGAAGGAAATGAAACACGTTTATAATGAAGATAAGATTAAGGGATGTTAAGAAAGGGGTTGAAATATAAATAAGGGGTGGTGTGGAAGTCTTTAGTTGGTTATGTATTA